CTGGAGACAAAGGGTGTGGGAGGAAAAACAATTATTTGTTCAAATTAAAGGTCTTCCTTATTTTGTGTAGCCATGTAGCCCTAAAGATCATACTGCAATAGGCTTGAATTGAAATCTGTGCTTATTAAAACTATACTAAAATATGCTATTTTAAAGAGGAGACTGTGTACTGAAATTCCATATTGGAATTCGGAGTTATTTCTTCAAGAACCACAGTTTTCTAGTTTGCGTCTAGGTCTCAGTGTGTCAAACCTGCATATTCTTCTGGGCCTCAAGGTCCATTCGGTGCCTTGTGAGCCCTGAGAATGGCTGAAATAAATGCATGTTTTCACCATGAGAAATTAGACATTTTGTCTTTTCAACTGCATAATACCTCGTTCTTCAGTTTGAGCTGCCTTCTTACAGATGTTTTTTTGCATTAGGGCTGTGCATAGAGTACACGCTGGTCTTGAGGGAAGATCACCTCTGGCAGGGAGTTGCAGGCTCTGCCTGCTAGATACAGACTGGCATTTTGTATTTTCTAGTTTCTGACCTGTTGTTCTGAGTACCTAGTTTAATTTCTAAGCATCTGCAAAAATAAAAGAAGTTTACTTCTGTGGTTATTAGTTTAGTAAAACCAAGCACCAGTAAAAGTAATGACAGATTGAAGAGAGAAAATACCAAATTTATTGGCAGCCCATAAGTCAGAATGTGTCTTATACTGTGTGTAGGTTTATTGGTTTTAATTTTGTTTTTTAAGACTCTGAGCATTTAAATATTTTAGACATGTGAAGACAGAAACCTGTTTTCAACTCCTGGAATTGATTTTTGGTAGCTAGAAAAAGGCCTGGCTCTCTTTCATGAGACACAGTGTTAGACAGTAATGCCACAGAGGGGTGTTTTGTAACTGCTAATCTCTGCCAAAACAGTGACTCTTCTGTGAGTATCAGTAACTTGAAAGAAAAGACATGTTCAGAGCACTGAATGTGGTATTTCTCTGTGTAAAGCTCCTGTTACACCATGCTGCCTACAGCCTCACAAAGAGGATTACACAGGCTCTCTTGTGTCTCCTACCCTTTTTTGAAATCACAGGGGGGGTGTGCAAGACAGAGATCTAGTAGAGGTATTTTTCAGCTTTAGCATTTTTTTATTGTTCCTTCTAAGTCTCTAGTTGGAATGACTTTGTGCCCTCTCATTTCTTTTTTATTATTTCAGTTCCTTAGAGCAGCCATGTCTGCAGCACCTGGGTTTCTGTGCGTGATCCACGTGTTCTCGTGGCAGAGGCAAAAAAGTAAATCACCTTCATTCTCTTAATGGAGTTCTGCAGGTCGTGCCCCAAACCACAGTGAAGTAACTTCCCCTGTAATTAGCCAGTGCAAGGTGGAGGGGAAGGCTAGCCCCAGAGGAACAAGCAGTAGCAGCTACCTGTGTTTGTTACAGCATTTAATTCGTTCCTCCTTCCCATCCTGCTTGCTGCCTCCTCCTCCTTGCGCACCGCGTAGCTCTGTGTGCCAGGCCTGGCTGCAGTAAGCACGCCTGGCTGGTCCTTGCTGCGCCGTTGGCTCCGTGCTCTCGAGTTGAGCTGTTGCACCAGTTACCTGGTGGGCAAGGAGTTCTCGTGGCTGCCAAGGTGGGTGGGACTACAGTGAAAACGGCTTGGTGATCTGTGAGAGCATCCCTTCCAACCAGCTTCCAAGAAAGAAAGAAAATAATAATAATAATTAAAAAATCCATGCAGGAAAGAAAACACATCTGCTGCTCTCTGTGATTTTCCTGTCCTGGGCAGGTGGTAGTTGAGCCTTAGGAGTGAGGAGGATCCTGTCATATCTGTTTACAATGACTAACAGAATTATCCAGGTTGGAAAAGACCCTTGGGATCGAGTCCAACCATTAACCCTACTTGCAAGTTCACCCCTAGACCATATCATGCAACACCACATCCAAGCGATGCTTAAACACATCCAGGGATGGCGACTCAAACACCTCCCTGGGCAGCCTGTTCCAATATCCCACAACTCTTTCCGTGAATAACTTCTTCCTAGTGTCTAGTCTAAACCTACCTTGTTTAAGCTTGAAGCCATTCCCTCTGGTTCTGTCACTGATTACCCAAGAAAAGAGACCAGCACCACCCTCTCCATAATGTCCTTTCAGGTAGTTGTAGAGAGTGATGAGGTCTCCCCTCAGCCTCCTCTTCCTCAAACTAAACAGACCTAACTCCTTCAAACGGTCCTCATACGATCTATTCTCCAGTCCCTTGACCAGCTTCGTTGCCCTCGTCTGCACCCACTCCAGCACCTCGATATCTCTCTTGTACTGAGGTGCCCAGAACTAGACACAGTACTCGAGTTGAGGCCTCACCAGTGTTGTGCACAGGGGAACAATGACCTGCCTACTCCTGCTGGTCCCACCATTTCTAATACAGGCCAGGATGCCGTTGGCCTTCTTTGCCACCTGGGCACACTGCTGGCTCCTATTCATTTGCTTGTCTATCAGGACCCCCAGATCCCTCTCCTTGAGACAGCTCTCCAACCACACGTCCCCCAGCCTGTAACGTTGCAGCTCAAGCGCAGGACCCGACACTTGGCCTTGTTGAAACTCATCCCATTAACATTGGCCCAGCGATCCAGTCTATCTAAGTCTCTCTGGAGAGCCTCCCTATTCTCACGCAGATCGACACACCCGCCTAACTTGGTGTCATCTGCAAATTTACTGGTGATAGACTCTATGTCCTCATCAAATCATCATTCTTTTGCACGAGGTTATTTAAATGTCAGAGGTAGCAGTTCTAGGGCAAGCAGTTTACACTGTGACTCAGTCTAGGGGAGTACTGGGAGACGTTAAAGAAAATGGGGGTTTGTAGCTAACTTCAGTTAAAGCACTGTGAGACTTTGATAGCTGTGGGGTGTGTTTCTGGTCTGTGTCCTTCAGCACTTCTTACAGCAATTACAGCCCTGGGTGGGAAAGGCTCAGAAGCCGTGCTGCTGGGAGGAGGCTCTTGTGAAGCTGGGAAGACTATAAGGTGCTGACAGCTTGTGTTACTGATGAGGGATGAGTATTTGATGTTCATTTGCCCACCGGAAAATAAAGAAGAGCTGGAAGTTACTTGAGCGCAGTCCCTGAGAAACGCAGCCTTAACTTTTATGTTTTGGCAACTGTGCCAAGAGCTGAGCCAACTGAGACGAGTGCTGCAGTGAGATAAAACCCTCTTCTCTCTGGCTGCCTTCACCAAATCCCCGGCTAGCTATGCAAGACTGGTGAAAGCTTCTGGGAGGAGAGCATGGGAGGCCGGGGGCTGGGTCCCTGCCTGTGGCAGAGGGACGCTTTCGTCCTGAGGTCTACACCAGGCTCTGTAAAGGCGACCGCTGACCTTTCCTGCGGACTGAGATCATGGGAGCTGCTTGCGCTGGGGTGGGGAAGGAGAGAGGCTGCTCCGTGCCTTTGGCCATGCAGGCAGCAGCTGATACCCGAGTTCTGGGTGTAGAAATGCCATTACCTTCTTCAGGAAAATGTGGACTAGAAGTAATCAAACTATCATGTTGTATATTTATTGCCTGTGACGCTCTCCTTTGGGGTTTGTAAAGCGCAGGTCTGTACAAATTGGTATCCTGCAAGTTAAAAATAACAACTCTGATGCATCTTTACGCTGCCGGCTTTGATCTCCTTGTGCTCTGCTAATCCAGTCTTCTCCCAACCAAGGGGAGCCAGACTCTGCGTGATAATGCACATCCTGTCTCCTTCCCTGCTCCATGTGTACAGACAAGCTGCATATTTTACTTTAGAAATGGCAAATTTGGGTCACAAGTTCAGCAGTTAAAATGATGATTTTACCACATCCTGCTTGTGCAGGAAGCTTATTTTTTTAAAAAGCTGGTAAGTTGAATCCTCTAGATTTTGTCAAAACAAAAAGCAAAGCAAGCTATTTAAAGCTGCAAAGAGTTTTGGATTCTCACACAATCAGTTTGCTACTTCGTCTCACAGTACGTATGTTTAATTTAAAGGGAAAGCTTTGCAACCTGCTCCTGTGCTACCTGGACTAATCGGCTTCCTATAATCACCAGGCTGTGATGATAATCCGAAGAAAGTATGCCAAGAAAGTGTTGTGGGGTCTTCCTCTTGTTTAGCTGGGTTGGATTTTTCTGAGGATGGATGATTTCTTCATGAATTGCGGGAAGATTGTACAGTACCGTTTGGTCCAATGAATAGGTGATAACTGTTTCTCACTGTAAAACATGCAAACACATTTTAAAAATTGTGCCAAATATTCACGTAGTAACTGTAAGACTTCCAGTTGTGCAGTTGTGCTTAAGGAAAGGAGCCAAACAAATCTGGTGAGCAACGTGGATGCTCTATACCAAGGAGCGAGAGACATTGACTTATTATGTTAGATGAAGAGAATGAGAGACTTTGCTCATAATGTAGTAGGAGACCTAAAATGTGGGGTGCAAGTCATGAGCAAAGTGCAAAGCAAATGCTATTTTGTTTAAATGCAAGGTATTGCAAAATAATGTCACTGCTGGATTTCATGTGTTGAGACTCAAGCAGACATTTTTACACAGTCAGATGTTGTGCAGGGTAATTAATTGTTGCTATTCAAGTTATTAATACATATCAGCTACAGCACTTTACCTTTCAGATATTTCGGTTGCGCAGAGCAGGCCTTGGTGCTTGTACTGTGAAGTGGCAAAGATACGTAACTATCATCTCACTTGAAGTGAGAAGGCTGCTGTTTCTGAAGTAACGTGTCATTTCAGTGCATATCCTCTGAGGAAACAGTGTTGAGTGGAATGATGGACAATGTGTGACAGGCAACAAAACATAATGAAAACTGGATCCTTCTGAAGATACGTGTTCATAGAATCATTAAGGTTGGAAAAGACCTCAAAGATCATCTAGTCCAACCGTCTACCCAACACTACCATGACCACTAAACAGTATATTGGCATGATGTGATTGTTATTAAATGGTAAATAACCTGTTCTCTGGTCAACAATGCTGATTTTTGTCTTTGTTCTCTTGCAGGAATGTTTACCCTTGCAGAAGTTGCATCGCTCAATGACATCCAGCCAACTTACCGTATCTTGAAACCATGGTGGGATGTATTTATGGATTATCTGGCTGTTGTTATGTTAATGGTTGCTATTTTTGCTGGAACCATGCAGCTGACCAAAGACCAGGTGGTCTGCTTGCCAGTTTTGCAGTCTACTGTAAATTCAAAAGCACAGCCTGTCACGTCAGGGAAGGCTGACTTTACCACTGTTGAAACAACCGCTGGTCAGGGAGAAGAAGCATCAGTGAGAACGGTTTCCTTCGGAAGTGCCCCTACTGTAACACCTGACGTACCTCTGAGCAGAGCTACCTCTCCTCAGTATCAATCCACTGAATCAGGCCAGGAGGTGAAGAAGGAGCAGAAAGATTCTTCAGGCCGTAAAACAAATTTGGATTTTCAGCAATATGTATTTATTAACCAGATGTGCTATCATTTGGCTCTTCCTTGGTATTCAAAGTATTTTCCCTATCTTGTTCTCATCCATACTATCATTTTAATAGTCAGTAGCAACTTTTGGTTCAAGTATCCCAAGACTTGCTCAAAAATTGAGCATTTTGTGTCTATATTAGGTAAGTGCTTTGAGTCCCCCTGGACTACAAAAGCGTTGTCTGAAACAGCGTGTGAGGACTCCGAGGAGAACAAACAGAGGTTAACTGGTGCCCAATCCCTGCCCAAGTATGTTTCCACTAGCAGTGATGAAGGAAGCCCAAGTGCCAGCACTCCCATGATAACGAAGTCTGGCTTCAAATTTTCGGCTGACAAGCCAACGATTGAGGTTCCCAGTGTCACTATTTTAGATAAGAAAGATGGAGAACAAGCCAAAGCCCTCTTTGAGAAAGTCCGTAAGTTTCGGGCTCACGTGGAGGACAGCGATCTGATTTACAAGCTCTATGTTGGCCAGACTGTCATCAAGACTGTCAAGTTCATATTTATTCTCTGCTATACTGCAAACTTTGTCAACACCATTAGTTTTGAACACATCTGCAACCCGAAAGTGGAGCACCTGATTGGCTACACACAGTTTGAATGTACACACAACATGGCTTACATGTTGAAGAAGCTGCTTATCAGCTATATTTCCCTCATTTGCGTCTATGGCTTTATCTGCCTCTACACGCTTTTCTGGCTGTTCCGCATACCTTTAAAAGAATATTCCTTTGAAAAGGTCAGAGAGGAGAGTAGCTTCAGTGATATCCCTGATGTCAAAAATGATTTTGCGTTTCTCTTGCATATGGTAGATCAGTACGACCAGCTGTATTCTAAGCGATTTGGTGTCTTTTTGTCAGAGGTAAGTGAGAACAAACTGCGGGAAATCAGTTTAAACCACGAATGGACTTACGAAAAGCTGCGGCAACACGTTTCCCGCAATGCCCAGGACAAGCAAGAATTGCATCTCTTCATGCTGTCGGGTGTCCCCGACGCGGTGTTTGATCTGACGGACCTGGACGTGTTGAAACTGGAGCTCATTCCCGAGGCGAAAATCCCACCGAAAATTTCCCAGATGACAAATCTTCAGGAGCTTCATCTGTGCCACTGCCCTGCGAAGGTTGAGCAGACCGCCTTCAGCTTCCTCCGGGACCACTTGAGATGCCTTCATGTGAAATTCACAGATGTTGCAGAAATTCCTGCGTGGGTGTATTTGCTCAAAAATCTCCGTGAATTGTACTTGATAGGCAACTTGAACTCTGAAAACAATAAAATGATAGGGCTCGAATCTCTCAGAGAATTGAGACACCTTAAAATTCTCCACGTGAAGAGCAATTTGACCAAAATTCCCCCCAATATCACAGATGTGGCACCGCATCTGACAAAACTCGTCATTCATAATGATGGCACTAAGCTTGTGGTACTCAATAGCCTTAAGAAAATGACTAATGTTGCGGAGTTGGAACTGCAGAACTGTGAACTGGAGAGAATTCCCCATGCCATCTTCAGCCTCTCTAACTTACAGGAACTGGATTTGAAGTCAAACAGTATACGCACAATTGAAGAAATCATCAGTTTCCAGCACTTAAAAAGATTGACTTGTTTAAAGCTGTGGCACAATAAAATAGTCAACATTCCTTCCTCCATCACCCACATAAAGAATTTGGAGTCTCTTTATCTCTCCAATAACAAACTCGAATCCTTACCAGCTGCAGTGTTCAGTTTACAGAAACTTAGGTGTTTGGATGTAAGCTACAACTCGATTGCATCGATTCCAGTGGAAGTAGGTTTTCTTCAAAATCTGCAGCATTTTCACATCACGGGAAACAAAGTCGACACTTTGCCAAAACAGTTGTTTAAATGTGTTAAATTGAGAACTTTGAGTCTGGGACAAAACTGTATTACCTCAATCCCAGATCAAGTTAGTCAACTGTTGCAGCTGACTCACCTGGAACTGAAGGGAAACTGCTTGGACCGTCTGCCAGCCACGCTGAGGCACTGTCAGCTTCTCAGGAAAAGTGGGCTCGTGGTGGAAGATCACCTCTTTGACGCTTTGCCCTCAGAAGTGAAAGAGGTGTTGAATCAAGACACAAGTATTCCCTTTGCTAACGGGATTTAGGCTGAGGTGAAACGCTCAGTATCTGACTTCCAAACGGCAAATGCTAAAAAGTATGGCAATTGTGAGACCATGCATTTTAGAAAGCAGAATTTCTTGGAAGGCAGGACTACTAGCAGGATTAGAACAGGTGTAACCGAGTGTTCAATGCTTGCAGTGTTTTAAAAGATTATTTCCAAAATTTTTGAGAGGATAAAGAACCTTAATAATCTCAATTCTTTTTTTCCTTAAATTGTTTGTAACTTGGATGCTGCCGCTTTTGAATGTTTACAAATTTGCTCGCCTGCTTAAAGTAAATGATTAAATTGATGACCTTTTCTTACTATGCAAGTTATTCCTTAAGGTCTGGATTTACTTTAGTGCATTAAGGGGGGAAAAACACGGATCAACATTGCATACAGTATGGTTCTAACAGCACTTGAAACATGTGTCGCTGTGTGTTGTTAGTGTTCAGCCATCCTTGGCAAATGCAACCAGTTTGGCTGTGCTTGGAATGGCACCAGAACCACCGTTCTCCTGCATTAAGGTCTGTGGTTTGCATCAGGCCAAGTGCGTTTGCCCTCATTCTTCATCCCCAAGGCCCTACGTTGTCGGGTGAGATTTCTTCTGTGGTCCAGTGTGCTACTCCTTCACACCAGCGAAGACTGGTCACATTCCTGCAGCTGGTCTCCCCCTCAGCTTCCATAAAGCTCCACTACGCCCCGCAGCGGTGGGTGGTAAAAGGGAGAACACTGCCTCTTGGCTTTCAAGTTGGCAATAGTTTTGGTATTTGAGCTGTTTTGCAAGGTGACTTTGAAAGCCATTAAACACCAAGTGACTTTGCTGCTCATGTTTTGCTTCTCTTCTGAGTTTTCGTCTGGGAAACTCATGGTATTTTATGAGTTGGTGACTGTTTTGTTTCACAATTTAAGAACTGGCGTGTCTGCTCCATTTATTAGACTAATGACAGAGACATAAGAATGACGATTTACCCAAATGTGATTTAGCTCTATTACCTATTGCGGTGTGTCTTCCACACCTGGACTGTAACCACAGGACCACCCTTGATGTTTTTCAACACATACGCACCATTAGAAAACCTAACTGTGTGCCACATAAGTCATGAAATAAAGAAAAGCACAGACAACAGTGAGCATGGGATTTTTTGGAGGGGGGGTGGGTTTTTTTGGTGGTGTTTTTTCAACTGAGTTTGCATTGCCAGAGCCATTAAAGAAATACAATCCATTAAATCTGCAAAATCATCAGTTGTAAATCTTGGCCATTTACATTCCATGTGTGCAGAAAAGAAGTACTATGCTGGGAGATGATTACACGATTACTCATGGCTTAAACACAATTCCCTATTGTAGTGCGGTCAGGACTGAACTAGTCTGTAGTTCAAGGGACTCTTCTCACATAGAAATCCTCCTGCACAGCGATTTCTACTCTAACTTCACCAGAGCTGCCCTGACTTACACCAATATTAACAAGGGGATAGTTTAGGCCTAGGGGCATTGAGCAGTCAAGAACATTTCAAATAATGCTTGTACGAATCTTGCACGTTTTTTTGTTAATCATTTACTGTTAGTCGTGCTGGGCAGACTGTTCTCAGCTGTAGGTAGCACTCTCTGAATACATACCTGTACCATATGTTTATGTGTATCAGAAGACCAGTTTATGAATAGTGGTTTTCCCACTTCTTTTGGGGATACAGTGTGTTCTCCACTTGCCAGCAGGAAGTAAACCTGGGATGTAGGCAGTTCTGCAACACCAAGTCACGGGTTTGGCAGAATACTTACAGTTACTGATCTGTACTCCACTGGGAAGTTTAGTACTAATCCTCAGAATTTTTTATGTAGAAGTCAAGGCTGCAGTGGACTTTTTTTTTTTTTTTAAGAAACTCTTTCATGTGTTTATTTTTTGCACATAGATCACTTTAAAATTGCTGGACTATTGACTCTAGAAAAACTGTGGAATATACTATTGGTGTATGCTTTGTATTTGCTGTTGAGCGTCATTTCCGCTTCCAAGAAACTGTGTGTAGGAGGGAGGAAGAGTTGGAGGATAACAAAGTAATTAAAATATTCAGAATAATGATTTTAGTTTTCATCTTTTTTCTTATTTTAGTAGCAGAGTTGCACAGAATGCAGCCATGGATTGATCCAGCTTTTAAAAGTTTTTTTTGGTGTTTCCTATTCTCCTACTGTCCCCATTGATATTCAGAAAATAAACCCATTTCCACTTCGTATGAGTATGGTATGTGTAATTTAGACCACTGTTTTGACTAGTTACTAGCCAATTGTACTTCTTTAGACAACTTCCTCCCAAATAAGTATGTGTTAAAGTTAATTTCAGGCTTGTGATGCTTGCTCAGCATAAACTCCATTCTTGTTTTTAGGAGAGCTATCTCAGTATGGGGAGGAACTGCCCATCGTCCCCATGTCACCCCCCCTCAGTCCTTCCTCCTCTTTGTGACTGTTTATAATGTTCCTATTTCCTGTGTGTCAACTGACACAGTCTTGCTTTAAAGTCTTGGAAGTTCATCTCTTTCCTATGTAAGGCATGTGAAATATATTTTACGTTTCTATTTGATTTAATAAATAAGATGTTTATATCTTCCTCTCATCTAATTTTTTTTAACGGGGGAAAAGTGTGTTTGTGTAGTAAAATCTCTGATTTCAAGTATCTTATGCTGAACTTTTGTGATGCTTTTAATATAAGAAGGAAGAGGTGTGGGTTGCTGCTCCTAGTAAATCCTGTAGGTATGGTTCTAAGTAGAATACAGTACTTCAGGTAGTTTTTTTTATTTCATATACATAATCTAAATGACCTACCACTGTGTATATTTGGCTAATGGAGTTTTGCTGAATATACGTATGGCCCTGGAAGAAAGACTACCATGTTCATTCAAAAGAGAGGAAGGAGGAAGTTGCCCATTCTCTAACATGTTTCTGTGAAAATACTTTGGTTTTCTGATAAGTTATCCTCTTAGAAGATGCTTCCTGTGATGAAAACAGAGCCATGGCTTTCCTGAGCAGGCATCAGGCCTCTTAGTGTAAGGGAGGATGCTGATACTCATGAAAGGCTCTCTGCTGCTAAATAAAGGGCTTTGCAGTCCTGAGCAGCTCTCTCTGGCAGCAAAGGGGAAACCCAGACACTGTAAGTCATGTCTGGTTATGGGAGATCCATTTTATGGACTGTATTTTTAATAAAAATGTTACAGAAATAGCTGTTCTGTATATTGTTTTTCCATGGATGTGCACAGGAATTAGTGTTGTATGGTTATGTGAAGGCAAGTGATCCCTTTATTTAAAGTCAAGTTAAACAAATCAGGTGTTCCTGCAGCTGTGGTGTTGACTGTCATTCTGATTGCTTGCACGGGCAGATTTTGGCTTTCAGATGTCTTGGTTCTCAAGACAGGAAGCTGTGCGAGAACCTGACAGTCCTGAGTGTAACTCTTCTGCAGCTTGTTTTGAACACAAAAAATGAGGCTTCTGTCACACCTGTGGGATGTGAACCCGTGAGGGTGCTAAAGATGAGAACAAGAGTCTTGAATTTGCTGAGGCATCCCCGTGTGGGTGGCAGAGCCGTAGGGCACAGCGGCAGTGGGCTGGTGGGATTATTGCCTGTGTGACAGCTGGCCTTGAAGGTAACATGGAGCATGGTGCTTTCCTGTCTGTAAGCCAGGGGTTCTTTAATGGAGGCAAAATACATGAGTGCGTGTGGAAAACACAAGTCCCATAGAAATGAGCTCATGTGGAAGGATTCAGGATGCACAGTCAGTCTTGTCATTAGCTGCACGGCAGAGCCCTGTTAGCACGTTTCTAATGTGTGGTCCCAGAGCAATCTGATTTAGACAGCAAGCTGTCATAGGCAGGACTAGAAGGTATCTCAAGATGTCTTTAAGCCTGCCACCCTGCTTCATGCAGAAATAGGCTTCCCTAACTCATTCCTGCCAGATGTTTGGCAAGACATAGGAATGGGTTCGACAGTGATGGAGATTCCAGCCTCTCTAGGCAAGCTGTTTCCTTTATCATCTTCCCTGTTGAAGAAACAACTTTAACCTTAGCCAGACAGCAACTGCTGGTACTCTGCTTAGGCCAAACCAAATTATTAGAAATGTATGAATTTATCTGCTTGCTGAAGTACAGACTGAGACAGACTTCTCTGTGGACATGTTGCATCCCAAGCAGCTTGGGTGGACTGAAGTTTGGGATTCTGTGGAGAAGAGCTCGGAGGCACAGCTGGCATCAGTTTGGTTACAGGTACAGTGCAAAAAAGTTGCATCCTCCACTGATGGCAAGGCCATCTGCAGCCATGGTGCAATGCATCGTAGGCTCGTGGTTGACATCCTTGCCCTGGCAAAGCCTGGGTCTGTTTGTTCATAAAGATATTTTGCGAAGGCATTTAAATAGAATGCTTCTTGAGCAAGTTTGCTGTAGGAACATGTGAGGTAATCCTTAAGAACTGTAGGAAATGAGACAAATTCTGTCATGTTTTTAACCATGGCATTATCCCCTTGTCCTCCCATTGCAAACTGGTAAAATTGCTGCACTAACTACTGAGAAGATTATGGGGTTTCTCGAATGCTGGCAATTCCAGCACTGCAGAAGAGTTCCCAGTTCAGACTGTCCACTTGTGCTTGTCCAGTGTGTTCAGCACTTAAACCAAAGGCATCAGACATGGATGTTGCAAAACCCTGCAGGCTTATGCTGTGACCAGTTTCCCAGGACAGCAAATCATTCATCATGCTACCAAAGGGAGAGAAAGCTGTGTTGCTGAGTAAAGCTTTTCTGCAGTAAAGATGAGGCCTTAGAATTAAGCTCAGAAACAGATTTTCCAAGCTGATTACAAATGTGCCCGCACTACACGGTAAGTCACGAGAGATGTCATTTCTGGCAGAGAGCTGCTGAAAATAGTTCCTGTAATGCAGCCAAGCATGGGTGCAGAAGTGGCAGCTCTTTAACACTGCACATCAACACAATACAGCTCAAGTGAGGATCTTGAAAACCACATGCACTGGAGTTGGGCCAGGCTGCATCTCTCTCCCTTCCCTGAAGAGAACAGCCCCTAAGCCCTTTTGTAATTACTGCAGCCAGGACCTTTGTTCTGTCTTGCCTCCATCAGCACGTTGCCCCTTGATCTGGAGGTGATGTAGGGTTATTGGTTTAATAATGATGGCTTGGGAAGAATGCCATCTTCTAAATTAACACCACAGTTGCTTGCAGGAAGTCTTCTAGCACAGAGCAGGTCTGTTCCCATAAAGTGAACATGTTGTGCCCATAAAAAACAAAATCCTGAGTTGGGACTGGTTTGTGTAGACCATTAGAAATAAAT